TGTTTACAGAAAGGTGAAAGTGTTATTCATTTACAAAACAGAGTCCATATTCATCTGAACTTTATTCTAACATTCTACCTAATAAGAACTCTTTAGAAGGGAAAACAAGGTTCATAAGCACCTACGTAATACCTGAAGAGTCTCAATGCATTGCTGGTGCCTCAGAAACAAGCTCAAATCCTGAAAGTAAACATAATATTCCAGATTTTTCAATCAAATCCTGGAACGACTTTAAGAAAGAAAGTAACGTATTATAGTGTGATATTATGGTCAGGACGTCACGTCACCTCGATGGAAATTTCATTTTATCTATGATAGTTGGCGATCAAAGAATATCTCAGAGCATATGTATGTATATCAAACATGTAAAACAGAGAAGTTATTGGATTCAGTGATGTAATATAGATAAGTCTGGAACAAGTGAGACCGTTCTCCAAACCCATCACCATCCTCCAACACATCCCCTCTGGTTTACACTCCAACTCGTCTGGCTCACACCACCACAAATCCCCTTTGCGACCACATGCGTAGATCAATTTATGAATGACACACCAATCCCTTTTGTTGTATTCCCTCTTCCCCATTTACCTTCACTCGGCGAGTAGTACAAAGTTCTATCCTTTCCATCAACCGAGTAAATCTTGTCCTCCTTCACGACCACACTGTCGTGTATATACTGTAAACGCATCTCCCGATCAGGGATAGGTGGCAAAGGACACCAAGTTTGAGTCTTTGGGTCGAATACCTCTGCCCAGTTTAGTAATCCGGATCCCGACAGAGAGTGATTTTTATTAATTCTTTCGCCTTTTACTAAAGAACTAGATTTTGACCCACGCTTGGCGTATGATTAAATATTTTAATGTGCTTTCTAACTGATCTTAATATTTAGACATGTATTATAATATTTATAACCTTATAAAATGATATGTATGGTGCATAAATATAATCAAGTTAAATTTTGATCAAACAATTTTGATATCATATGCTCTGATCAACTTAGCATAAAAATATTAAAACTAATACAAATGTTATTTATATCAATTAATTTGAAATGTAAATAATTTTTTATGATGTGTAAATTATAGAATATGCAATAAATCAAATGAATTTTTAGATTTATATGAATTTGTCGGACATGACAAACAAAAATATATGTTTTTAATAATAAAATGTAAAAATATTTGTAAGTGTAGTTATCATCTACAAATAAATAATGTTGTTACAAATATAATAATGAAAAAATTTC